AAATAAACTTGTCTATAAAATAAATTGTCTATAAAATAAGCTTGTCTATGAATTGGTTGTCTATAAAATAAACTTGTTTATGAATTGGTTGTCTTTAAACTGAGGCGTCTATAAAATGATTTTCTATGAAATGATACGTACCCCTCTAGGACATAGCAAGGTTTTAGGACTACTATGCGGGTTCAGAACACGTAATTCTTATAAATCAGTCTTTATTGCAGAAAATACTGAGTCAAGTCCACCTTTACTAATTACCTTAATATTTACTAATTTATCAAATTTGACCCATTCAATTACGTCCTCATAAATTACTGCATTATCTTGAAATTTCTTTAGAAAGTTATCTATAAATATATCTCCACTAGTCCATCTCTGAGTTGACACTAATCTCGATACATATTGGGCTTATTACAATGAGCACAATATCCATATTTGCTATGTCTTTTCTCATCAAATTTCAGTTTCTTTAACTCCTAAATTCTTAAGTATTCATCAATTTCATCTGGAGAATCTCTATTAGACAAAAAGTTCTTCAATAAATTAATTTCTTCACAAACTAATAAAAAGGCATTGAAATTCATCATTGATAATTTTATCTTTGTCTCATTCAACATATCCAGACAGTTTTCCAATTCTCTCTTATCCTTCTCAAAGTCTTTTTTAATCTTCATGGTATTGTTGTAATTTATTCTTGTAAAATTATATAAAAATATATCATCATCGATCTTGATATTTGTTTTATAAATCTTATGCATTTATTCACTTCTATTTCCTGGTCACTTCTTCAATGCTTTTTAATAGCCACTTATCATTTGGTTTTAGTTTTAATAAATTTTCAAAAATTTCAAGAGATTTATGATATTTCCAATCATGCAATAAATCTCTCTTGGATGCTTTAGTGAAAATGTATCATTATTTGAATTAAGTTCTAGATATAAAGCACTTCCTGTAATGAAATGAGCCTCTGTCTTATATTTTGATTCAACATTTAATAATTTTATTACTCATCAAAAATATACATCTGTTTACTTAATACACATTTCATGGTTAAGGCACTATTTCATTTTAATTTCAATATTTTTTCTTCAATATCATCATTATTTATTGATTTATACACGAATTTTTGATACCCAAAATTTGTTTAACAAATCTGTCCGGCGATCTCAACCCAACACAAGGAAATAGTACACATTTTTTATTCTATTTTTCATATTAAAGTCTTTATCGTTAAATTCACACCAAAATTCACACCATTCTTCGTGTAAAATACAGTGCCATATCTAAAATTCAAACAACATCCAATAGTATCACTACTGGTAAATGATGGTCCATACCTTTAAAGATAGCAGAAAGTATGTCTATTTCACCTCGATAGCCCAGGAATTATTATCATATTTAGGCATCATTATTTAACTCAGCTGTTTTATTACAAATTCCAATTCTAATAATTCCATTGTCACTTTTATCAACAATATTAACTTCAAATAGAATATTTCACATTGGGGAATTGGATAATTTGTTTGTGTCAAAGCAGAATCCAACCAGCTTTTATCTGGGCCTGTATAGTTTACTTTAAGCTTATTCATATTTAACTATTTGGATTTGTCGTAAACATTCCACACGGTCAGCAATTCCAAAGGAATACTGTATTATTAATAGTAGCTTTCAGAAAATTTTTCTTGCATAACGGATAAGAGTAATAACTTTAAAGATAAATAAAGCATCACAAAAAATAATGAATGCAATCCAATCAAAATTGCTTTATTTAAAAAAATCTAGTAATTAAATTGGATCTGCACATATAGATATATTATGAAAAATAAATGCTGATGTAATGTTTAGTATTAAATTAATGTTAATGAATAACTATATTAGGTAAATTGGTAATGTTGTACAGGATTTAGGAGATGGCTAAAGCCAGGTACGAGTTTGGCTTACTGTTTATTGCAGTTAATGTGATTGTTTATATATGAGTGCTGCCAAGGAAAAAGTTGTGTTTTATTGATTATTTATCTGATTCAGCTCTTCTAGTGATGTTAATTAAATTAATTTGGTCATTTTAAAAGCCAATATTAAAATAAATTTCGTTTTTGCAGATTTAAATATTGAAATTATTGCAAAATACAATAAATAATTTTAGCATTATATTCGCTAAAAATAAAATTTATATGAAATAGTAACAAATAAATATATACGTAACACTAAGCATATACAAATAGATAATTATAATAAATGCTATCGCTATGTATTTTAATATACAGCATTGAACTAAATTAATACTCAATTCGCTATTGCTATTTCTGTATAGAATTTTATTGTAATACAGTCGTCCCTCATTAATATCAACCTATTTGGATCGCTTTTATATTCATGTTGATAGTGAATTAATGAGGGAACATATTAAAGTTGATATATAAGAGGGAATTTTAATATCATTTAACATATAGAAATTCATTTTATATCCTAGGTTGATATTAACGGGGTTGATATTAATGAGGGGCGACTGTATTAACTTTTTTTGTTTCCAGGTTTTTTTCAATGCTTAATATTATATCACTAATATCTATAAATATAACTATAAATTAAATTCATCCGTATTATATTTCCAAGCCAATTATGGTTTTTTACAATTGACTATCGGAGCAGAATAATATATTGGAGATGATTCTTCAGTCATATTAATGAAACAAATTTAATATATTCGAATTCAAAGATTTATTATTCTAACAATTACGTTAATTAAATTTTTTTATATTAATTAAATTTTATATCATGGGCACTATCACTACATGAGAACTGGGAAAATGTCTCGATCTGAAAATTAATGAATTCTCCGATCAATAATTATTTTTCGTACGTACTTATTACATAATCATTATAATGATCAATCGGAGAATCCGTTAATTCCCGGATCGACGTTTTCCTAGTCAGCTCTCATATCTGATATGCAACGTACGTACGTACGCATATTTTAGCTAAATTTAATTATGGTATATTTCAATTTTCGCATTTACTCTAATTAAAATATTTTTGGGTGGCATTAACAACAAATACATAATGGCCTAACCTTTTACGAACAACCACTTTCCTGACAATATCAAAATCCCGACAAGTTAGCCTGCATTAGATTAGGGTTGATGTTAGTTCCGGTCAATTTTAATAGGGATTTTGTTTGTCGGGAAAATGATAGAGATCCATGGCTGAAAGGTATTTAATCTAATTATATAGTAAATTTATTTCATGGTTGAAAAGTTCATATCGGCAGATTCGTGAAATCGGGATTACCATAACGATCCATATCCCTTAAATTATACATAAACGTAATAAAAATGTAATAAAACTTACACTAAGTAGAAATCGTATATTTTTTAGTCACTGAAATTGAGGATGCGCATTTTACAAACCCAATTTCGAAAGTTCGCCGATATGTTTGCGTTACAGCATATGGGCGGATTTTTTCGATTTGGTGATTATTAAAAATTTATGATAACATTTTAAAAATTTAATCCAAACATTTATGTGATATTGTATGATTTCCAGTAAAAAATAGAATTGATATTGCTTGATCTCCGGTAAAATTGAATTGTAAGATTGTATTTGATTGGTCAATTGCTCGCCTTGATTATTTAATCCGCTTATGAATCGCTTATGAAACCGTTTATGAAACAGCATAATAATTATAAATCATCATTGTATTTAATTGGTCAGTTGCTTTTCTTAGTTGTAAATTGCTTATGAAACTGATCATGAATCCGCATAATATTTATAAATCATTTATAAATCACTACGTATATCACTTAATTTTAATAATCACAACACTCCCATCAAAAAAATTTTCGCATTTGACACTATGCCATTACGGCATTGCGGCATTACGGAATTACGGCATAACGACATCAGAATTACGGCAAATAATACCGTTGCCATATTAATTTGTCTACCGCCAACTATAATTCCACTCTATCAACCAATCAAATTTAATATTTGTATGTTGTAAGTGGGAATGAAATTTAAGTGGATTCGGAATTTCTAGTTAAATTAGGGTTAGGGTCAGGGTGTACATATGATCAAATCAACAAATGGGGTTTTATATATAAATTCTGAATCCACTTAAACTCCGTTTCCACTTACAACATAGTTTATGAGTTAAGATTTCTATAGGCTAGGGTCAGGTTGGGGTTAAGTATGGGCATGCCTTTTGGCATGCTCTAAAGGGCATACCCATGCCCACTGTGTCCCGAACCCTACATACATAGTTTAATAGATCTTATCAAAAGCTACTTAAACTTCTCTATAATCACACCTTCGGGATACAAAAAAGGGTGATTATAGAGAAGTGTGCCAATTATAGAGGTTAAATTTATTATATTTAATAATATATAGTTGGTTTTTAAAAATATGTGTTTATAAAGAATATGTGCTTATATAGGAGGTGACTATAGAGAGGTTTGACTGTATAGTTTTTTTAAATTAAATTTTTAATATTATTAAATTTATAATAAAATATTTGATGCGACTACGTAAGATGTTCGCACCATGCTTTAAATCTTTCCTTTATTGATTGTTTCAATTAGACGTAAGTCACGTGGTATCGATTTTTTTGGCTAATCTAACCAGAAATGATATAATGATAATCATAGTAACACAATGATTAATCATGTTTACATCCCGTTAATTTCGTTACACTATGTTATAATTTTAGTTAAGAACCCGATAAAACGATAAATAAATATATTATACATACATGTATCAGTTTTTAGAGGTCATGATTAAAAAATGTCATCCGAGCGAGATTCAACCATTATTTCATCGCTAGAAAATTTATCCCTAAGTGAGAACAAACAAGAAAATATAAAACCTCGTTTGCCTCGTGTTTCAATAGAATTTTGTACTCAATGCCGTTGGTAAGTTTTTTATTCATATTGAATGATTTAATCAGGTTTAATAAATTTTTTCAAATAAGGTACTTTTGGTTTAATAAAGGGTTCTTCGTGCTGGATGGACTGCTCAAGAGTTATTGGTAACATTTGGTACAATTATTGGTGAAGTTGCTTTAATACCTGGTGTCGACGCTGTCTTCATAGTTCAAGTTGATGGTGGTTGGTTATTTAATATTCACCCATAATTTTATTTCATATTGGAGTAAATGAGAGAGTTCATCTAAATATTATTTATTGATTATTCAGAAACTATCTGGGATCGTAAGAAAGAGGGTCGATTTCCGGAATTGAAAGAATTGGTAAGTTAAATTCCTCAAAATCTAAATCTAAATCTTGTCATTGATATTAATTGTCAATTAATTAAACTTTCATATTCTATTGCTTAATTTAATAAGAAACAACTTATCAGGAATATGATCGCACCGGATATGAATCTTGGTCATTCTGATAATAAGAAAAAAGCAACTACTGATACTAATACGTCAACTAAGGATGCTGATGCTTGTGGAAAAGATGGTTGCCCTTAAATTATACAAAAATAGCCCGCATTTCATTCATATTTTTTTATGCTATTTAATTGATTTATGTTGAATAATTCTTTATAGTGCTATTTACAATAAGAAATGAAACCTACACATTGATACATTAAAGTTTAACTTAATACATCATTATTAAATCTGGACATAGTATATTGTATTTTTTTTTTCTTGCAATTTAATGTTATATTTGATATCGATATATTATATCATGTTTAATCAAGATCATTATACCCAAGCAAAAAATTTACAGAATACGGGCTTGCCAAACTCTGAAAAGTTTGATTTTATATATTCAAATCTCAATTTCAATATGATGATTCATGTTATCTAGAAATTATTAATTTGACATTACCATGTTATTATACTGTAAAATCTTTTAGACTTAACTGAAAAAAAAGTATTGTTAAAACCAGAGAAAAATTATCTAAATTAAGATACCCGTTTACTTCGCCCATAAAAAAAGTTGAACCAATAGTCGAATAATAATAAAGTCCATTGGTAAATTGATGAACACTGCGAATAGAGATGCTGGTGAAATTAATTCACTACATTTTACCAATTTAACACAATAATATTAATATAAGTTAAAAACTCTCGCTATAGTGAACACAATCTAGATATAATGAAGTAAACTCAAAATCAATCTATATAAATTCTCGAACAATACAAAAATATTAGATCAATCTAGATACTACCAACTTCATACAAAACTTTTTACAAAAGTTTATATACAAAGCACAACCTGCACCGCTCGGAATTATTCTCTTGTTCTAGTGAATTTATTAATAAAACTCTTGATATAGTGAATTTTTTAAAAATTTCTACTATTACCATAACGAGTTTAACTTGTAGTAAAATATAGTTTATCACTCTTGTTTAAATTTCACCTGCATTTTTAATTGTGTTCACTATAGCGAGAGTTTTTAACTTATATTAATATTATTGTGTTAAATTGGTAAAATGTAGTGAATTAATTTCACCAGCATCTCTATTCGCAGTGTTCATCAATTTACCAATGGACTTTATTATTATTCGACTATTGGTTCAACTTTTTTTATGGGCGAAGTAAACGGGTATCTTAATTTAGATAATTTTTCTCTGGTTTTAACAATACTTTTTTTTCAGTTAAGTCTAAAAGATTTTACAGTATAATAACATGGTAATGTCAAATTAATAATTTCTAGATAACATGAATCATCATATTGAAATTGAGATTTGAATATATAAAATCAAACTTTTCAGAGTTTGGCAAGCCCGTATTCTGTAAATTTTTTGCTTGGGTATAATGATCTTGATTAAACATGATATAATATATCGATATCAAATATAACATTAAATTGCAAGAAAAAAAAAATACAATATACTATGTCCAGATTTAATAATGATGTATTAAGTTAAACTTTAATGTATCAATGTGTAGGTTTCATTTCTTATTGTAAATAGCACTATAAAGAATTATTCAACATAAATCAATTAAATAGCATAAAAAAATATGAATGAAATGCGGGCTATTTTTGTATAATTTAAGGGCAACCATCTTTTCCACAAGCATCAGCATCCTTAGTTGACGTATTAGTATCAGTAGTTGCTTTTTTCTTATTATCAGAATGACCAAGATTCATATCCGGTGCGATCATATTCCTGATAAGTTGTTTCTTATTAAATTAAGCAATAGAATATGAAAGTTTAATTAATTGACAATTAATATCAATGACAAGATTTAGATTTAGATTTTGAGGAATTTAACTTACCAATTCTTTCAATTCCGGAAATCGACCCTCTTTCTTACGATCCCAGATAGTTTCTGAATAATCAATAAATAATATTTAGATGAACTCTCTCATTTACTCCAATATGAAATAAAATTATGGGTGAATATTAAATAACCAACCACCATCAACTTGAACTATGAAGACAGCGTCGACACCAGGTATTAAAGCAACTTCACCAATAATTGTACCAAATGTTACCAATAACTCTTGAGCAGTCCATCCAGCACGAAGAACCCTTTATTAAACCAAAAGTACCTTATTTGAAAAAATTTATTAAACCTGATTAAATCATTCAATATGAATAAAAAACTTACCAACGGCATTGAGTACAAAATTCTATTGAAACACGAGGCAAACGAGGTTTTATATTTTCTTGTTTGTTCTCACTTAGGGATAAATTTTCTAGCGATGAAATAATGGTTGAATCTCGCTCGGATGACATTTTTTAATCATGACCTCTAAAAACTGATACATGTATGTATAATATATTTATTTATCGTTTTATCGGGTTCTTAACTAAAATTATAACATAGTGTAACGAAATTAACGGGATGTAAACATGATTAATCATTGTGTTACTATGATTATCATTATATCATTTCTGGTTAGATTAGCCAAAAAAATCGATACCACGTGACTTACGTCTAATTGAAACAATCAATAAAGGAAAGATTTAAAGCATGGTGCGAACATCTTACGTAGTCGCATCAAATATTTTATTATAAATTTAATAATATTAAAAATTTAATTTAAAAAAACTATACAGTCAAACCTCTCTATAGTCACCTCCTATATAAGCACATATTCTTTATAAACACATATTTTTAAAAACCAACTATATATTATTAAATATAATAAATTTAACCTCTATAATTGGCACACTTCTCTATAATCACCCTTTTTTGTATCCCGAAGGTGTGATTATAGAGAAGTTTAAGTAGCTTTTGATAAGATCTATTAAACTATGTATGTAGGGTTCGGGACACAGTGGGCATGGGTATGCCCTTTAGAGCATGCCAAAAGGCATGCCCATACTTAACCCCAACCTGACCCTAGCCTATAGAAATCTTAACTCATAAACTATGTTGTAAGTGGAAACGGAGTTTAAGTGGATTCAGAATTTATATATAAAACCCCATTTGTTGATTTGATCATATGTACACCCTGACCCTAACCCTAATTTAACTAGAAATTCCGAATCCACTTAAATTTCATTCCCACTTACAACATACAAATATTAAATTTGATTGGTTGATAGAGTGGAATTATAGTTGGCGGTAGACAAATTAATATGGCAACGGTATTATTTGCCGTAATTCTGATGTCGTTATGCCGTAATTCCGTAATGCCGCAATGCCGTAATGGCATAGTGTCAAATGCGAAAATTTTTTTGATGGGAGTGTTGTGATTATTAAAATTAAGTGATATACGTAGTGATTTATAAATGATTTATAAATATTATGCGGATTCATGATCAGTTTCATAAGCAATTTACAACTAAGAAAAGCAACTGACCAATTAAATACAATGATGATTTATAATTATTATGCTGTTTCATAAACGGTTTCATAAGCGATTCATAAGCGGATTAAATAATCAAGGCGAGCAATTGACCAATCAAATACAATCTTACAATTCAATTTTACCGGAGATCAAGCAATATCAATTCTATTTTTTACTGGAAATCATACAATATCACATAAATGTTTGGATTAAATTTTTAAAATGTTATCATAAATTTTTAATAATCACCAAATCGAAAAAATCCGCCCATATGCTGTAACGCAAACATATCGGCGAACTTTCGAAATTGGGTTTGTAAAATGCGCATCCTCAATTTCAGTGACTAAAAAATATACGATTTCTACTTAGTGTAAGTTTTATTACATTTTTATTACGTTTATGTATAATTTAAGGGATATGGATCGTTATGGTAATCCCGATTTCACGAATCTGCCGATATGAACTTTTCAACCATGAAATAAATTTACTATATAATTAGATTAAATACCTTTCAGCCATGGATCTCTATCATTTTCCCGACAAACAAAATCCCTATTAAAATTGACCGGAACTAACATCAACCCTAATCTAATGCAGGCTAACTTGTCGGGATTTTGATATTGTCAGGAAAGTGGTTGTTCGTAAAAGGTTAGGCCATTATGTATTTGTTGTTAATGCCACCCAAAAATATTTTAATTAGAGTAAATGCGAAAATTGAAATATACCATAATTAAATTTAGCTAAAATATGCGTACGTACGTACGTTGCATATCAGATATGAGAGCTGACTAGGAAAACGTCGATCCGGGAATTAACGGATTCTCCGATTGATCATTATAATGATTATGTAATAAGTACGTACGAAAAATAATTATTGATCGGAGAATTCATTAATTTTCAGATCGAGACATTTTCCCAGTTCTCATGTAGTGATAGTGCCCATGATATAAAATTTAATTAATATAAAAAAATTTAATTAACGTAATTGTTAGAATAATAAATCTTTGAATTCGAATATATTAAATTTGTTTCATTAATATGACTGAAGAATCATCTCCAATATATTATTCTGCTCCGATAGTCAATTGTAAAAAACCATAATTGGCTTGGAAATATAATACGGATGAATTTAATTTATAGTTATATTTATAGATATTAGTGATATAATATTAAGCATTGAAAAAAACCTGGAAACAAAAAAAGTTAATACAGTCGCCCCTCATTAATATCAACCCCGTTAATATCAACCTAGGATATAAAATGAATTTCTATATGTTAAATGATATTAAAATTCCCTCTTATATATCAACTTTAATATGTTCCCTCATTAATTCACTATCAACATGAATATAAAAGCGATCCAAATAGGTTGATATTAATGAGGGACGACTGTATTACAATAAAATTCTATACAGAAATAGCAATAGCGAATTGAGTATTAATTTAGTTCAATGCTGTATATTAAAATACATAGCGATAGCATTTATTATAATTATCTATTTGTATATGCTTAGTGTTACGTATATATTTATTTGTTACTATTTCATATAAATTTTATTTTTAGCGAATATAATGCTAAAATTATTTATTGTATTTTGCAATAATTTCAATATTTAAATCTGCAAAAACGAAATTTATTTTAATATTGGCTTTTAAAATGACCAAATTAATTTAATTAACATCACTAGAAGAGCTGAATCAGATAAATAATCA